CTCATAAAAGCCCTGCCTGCTTCATGTCATGCCCTTTGAGAGACTCAGCTCCAGGTGGGCTTTGGCTTTCCTGAACCCATCCCTACGTGCTCAGGACTGTGTCTCTATTCCTCCTGGGCCATGTCTCCCTGCTTGCACCTCTTACACGCTTCCATTTTAGGTTTTAGTTGGTTTGTTCATCCATGCAGGCTTCCCACCACATATGTTCTCCTGTAAGTCAAGATGGACCATTCTTCAGGGTGGAGGGAAATCAACCAGCTGTCCTGGACACCTCTTCTCTTTGGGACTGTATCCTATAGGATTCTTTCAAGCAGGTCTCTGAACAGGACAGAGTCTACTCTCCTGAAGTCCAAGGTCATGACTCAACCTAGCTTAGGCTGAGTCACAGAATAGCAAGTGGGTAAAAAAATACAATGGAGAATTTTGACAGAGCCTAAGACAGCCCATGTACATGTCCATCAAAGATTATTCAGAAGACTCAAAAATGAATGTAGTTACCACAACAAAATGTAATAAGGATAGTCAGGCTTATTTATATACTCCCCTTTCAACTATACTAGTCAGAGAGTAACTTCCATCCTTAATTTTTAAGACAGCATCTCCTAACTGTGATGCAGGCCTCCTCAGAGGGGACCTCCATTCCCATCTGGAATATGCTTAGAGCAGGCAGGAGTCAGTAAGGCATTGCACGTGGCACAGACTCATTTATGACAGGATCATTTAATATACAGTGCTCTGAAGCTGTAAACAAGAACTGGAATAGTAATCTCTGGAATAAAAATTCTCACTGGCAATTATGTGCTGAGGTTTGCACTTGCTTTTGACAGGAATTTAGGTGTTTTGGAGGTTCTCATGCTTTTTTTCCTTACCTTCTACATGTAGGGTCAGAAGCAGAATTTCTTCCTTCTAAAAGATTCAGTGGAAAGTAAAGCCTCTTAAGAGGGGAAAAACCATTGTCTCAACAGAATGAGACTGTCTCTCTTGCATCACTTAAAATAGGAAAAGAAAGTTCCCGACATTTACTGTAGGCAGACATTCTGCATTGTTGAAGCAAGGAAAGAGAGATGGAGTCATTGCCAGCTCTACTACACAAGGATTTGAACATTAGGTCCAATTAGTTTGTGTACCAAATACTGAACCAATCTACAAAAAGTAGACAATTATTTTATCTGTTTACAGAAGGTGTGAGCAAAAGGAAGACAAGATGAGACACTTACTGTATCAAGCATCTCTTTGGTATGAGCTGCAGACAAACAGAATCTGGCTCTGGACTCGATGATGGGGGTGGCAGGGAAACCCACAACCACAACACCGATGTTCCGCTTCAGCATCTCACGCCCAAACGCACTGCCAGAGAGAACAAGAAAGATCATCACAATGATACCAGTGGAGGCAAAGCAGCAGCAGCATGAAGGTCTCAGTATGTTAACCCATACAGGCCTCTGCTGAAGCAAGCCTGGAAGACCACAATTTGGGGCTTCCAGTGCTTTCTTTCAGAGGCAGAACGCTTTTCCACAAAAGGCTTTTTTTAATTCAACCCCAAGGTGGTCCTCCTCAAAAGGTTTCACTGTATTAAGTTCTAACAAAAGTGAAAGACTATACGTGGCAGAGCCTGGTCTTTTAGCAGGCTGTTTCTAAACGGATTTGTAACCTAAGCTTGGAAATCTTTCCAATAGGAAACAAGGATTTTGGGTCAGAAGTTTGACTACACAAGGAATCCCCCGTGCTGCAATCCCCCAAAGCAGATGCTTCTGCAGTTTCAGGATGGTTTGTTTTCACCAATTTTATTAAATTGAAGTACATTATGGTGTCACAGAATGTACCACTTTTTAAGTCCCTATCATGGGAACCACTGAGCTGCCACAGTAAACTGAGATCATCTAGTCTGATACCAAATACTTTTAAGAAAGGTGCAGAGACCTCATACATCTGTCACGCAGTATCTTCAACAACACAAATTCTTATGGGGATTAAAGAAATCAGCGGCTGTGACCTATGCGATGAGAGGCACAAAGATCTAGATCCTTTCCGTAATGGCAGTGCAGTTGTGGGTGTTTCTACAGGCCACAGGAAATGGTTAATCCTTTTTGAACTGACCTTGTCTTGAGAAGTAGCAATGAACTTAAGAGACTTATAAGGATGTATAAAAATAACATCCTTTTACTAGGTTTTTAAGTTCTCTGCCTTTTACTTCTGCTACAACTATTTTCCTTATAAATAGGTGCATCCTGATACACTTAATTTTGTATCCATTTCGTACACTCAAACTATTTTAAAAACAGACTACAAGAGACAAAGAAAGAATGAAGTAGACCCGGTGTAGATCCCAAGGGCTAACTCACATCAGAGCTCTGTGTTCTTGCTCGTTTTTGTGTAAGTTACTGGCCCAACTGCTCAGCTAGTAAACATTTCCATGAACGTTTCCAGGGAAAAGTTTGTACTGACTAGTAGAGCAGCTAGTTGGCAGAAACAGTATGCCTCTGTGCTGGATGGCCCACACTACAGACTCTGCAGCACCCATAAAGGTTACTGGCCTTTGAAATTTGGTTATACTGAGAAGGGTGGAGGAAGACTGTATCTAGCTTCATGGAGAGTGCTAGAAGGTGTTTGTTCCCTCACAGAACCACAGTGCTTAGCCAGACTGAAGCCTAACTGAGCTAGAAGAACACTAGAGATGTTCTGTACAGCTTAAAATGAGGCTATGCTTTCCAAATTTGAAAGTGTTGGTTGACACTGCATTGCAGACAGACACTGAAAAGCAGCTATCAAAGCCCAGTTGTCCTTGAAATCAGGCTTTTGTTTATGTCGCAAGATTTTTTAACATATACATTACACCCTGCTTGCAGAATTTTAGCCTTAATTATCCACACAGCAGCCCACAAGTCCACAAGCATTTATAAAGCTATGTGTTACAGTTCTATTAGTATTTATGAGACCAGTATCTGAGCTATTAAATCCAGACCTCGTAAAAAAACTTGGGATTCATCAAATACAGGTTGTTGTGTCCCATCATGACCCACCCTCCTGCTTTTTCTTTTTTAATTTTCAGAGTTGATCTGTGGAAATGTTGGCTGCTTCTGATCCAGGAGCTGGTTAAAAGATTCCTTCAGTGACTTTTAATGTTAATTTCCATTCAATTTCAGCTTCTCTTTAGCACATACATACACTTTACATAAAAAAGGCAGGTAGTGGCAAAATTGCTTCCCTGAAGAGCTTTCTTGCTGCCCCAAGCTACAAACCTCAATTTTCTCAAGATTGCTTCTAGGAAATTTCCATGTTTTACAAGATTCAGTAATAATCATAAAATCAAAAATCAAACCAGTCTTTTCTTATATTTAGAAGAGTCTTAATATTCTTGTACTATCCTAGCTTTAAAGAAGATGGATGATAAGTTAACCCGTTAAACCTACCCAATTTTTGCTGGCATGTACAGCATCAGAGGCACAACAGGGGAATCTTCATTTCCATAGATGATGAAGCCCATCTCTTTCAGTCGTCTCCTGAAATATCTTGTGTTCTCTGCTAGCTGCTGCACACGCGCTTTCCCTAGAAAAGAAATTAAGATAAGACCGTGAACACAACAGTCGTTAAGTCACGTGTGTAACTGCAACACCAGACATCTAGCTGAAGTACAAACTATGAGTGTACCACTTGTTCTTATGGAAGTGTTAAAATTAAACACAAACTAGAATTTGCAATCTCTTCTCCTTCACATAATCAAGATTAATCACTCATTTTCTGACAGGCTGTAAGCGAATGGACTAACCATCAAGCCGAAGCACTCCCTAGATTTCCCACGTCAGGTTTTTAATCAAGAGGTACCTGGCAAAACAAGGCAATTACCTGCTTTTAAACAAGATTCAAAATTTGCTCAAAATTCACTGGTAACTGCATCTTGAAGAAGAACTTGCTTACACTTTGAATAATTAATGGAAAACTATTGAATTGGCTGGGGCCGTTTGCAGTATTTTATCCTGCTTGTCCGTATTAATGGAAATTACTACTTTCCTCCTTAGATCTGCTTGCTGAACAGATCATGTGGCTGCTCCCTAACCTTTTTCAGTTAAAATGAGCTGGGTTTAAATTAAACAGATTACTTCTGATAATCCAGCTCACTTCACATAAGCAGCAGCAGCCAATTTATCATGTATTCAGCCAATTCTGTATGGATTTTTTTTGGACATTTGTCAAAATTACTACACGGGACATTAGACAGCCAGTATAATATAAATATTCCAGCTATTCAGATATGCATAGGACAACCTATTTATCAGTTAAATTCTAGCCTAGTGCAGTGTACTATGTCCCTGTATCACCCAGAAAAAGATCCACCCACATCATCTCAACTAAACAGATGATAATGCATTTCTGATCAACTAATGATCTAATGTGCTTAAGAGATTAAGCACTGTGCCATTGATGAGACTATAATATGTAACATTTATAATTACTTGTCTCTGGTCCACAGAGTATATTTCTGGATAATTGACTATCCAAACACTGCCTTTACCTGATTCATATACTGAAGCATTAAATCTACAGCAGTGTGGATCTATGCCACGTAGTGAAGTCAGCTGCTAGATATTAATCATCTTCCTTTAAAGTTGTAGATAACATAAGGTGATTAACCAAAAGGAACGCCAGGTCTCAAAGAACCATCTGACACCCACACAGCTCTGCTCCAGGCCAGAACAAATGTAATTTTAAGAACCTATATAGTTTTTGTAGCCAAGAGTATCAGACATTCCACCCACAACCATGCAATCAAAGGCAAAATCCCATCAAAGGCAAAGCACGAGGAAAAAAAGGATGAAACCTGTTAAGTTTGCAAAACTTGGCCTATCATTAGTGGGTAGGAGTCGGTATTTTTAACAGCGTTCATTGCCATTTAAGACATCTCTTCTCCTCCATTAACAGCATTATTTCTTAATCTCATCTCCCCCAGAGTTTGTGCAGAAGCTTAATTCCTCTTCCCCAAAAAGCAGTAAGATTTCAGTAAAACACAAAGGCATCTCATGCTTATGCAGCTTATTTTTTAATTGGCTCACATCAGATCAGATCCTCTAGTGGAGACCCAGCTTTCTCTTATGTTTTCAAACCAATTATTTGGTTATTTTAAATACCCCAGACTGCAAAGTGAAGTTGAAAAAAACCCCCACACCCAACCAAATAAAAAGAAACAGGCCTGCAGCAAGATACTACAGATAGTGGGCCAAAAGCCACTACTTGCAGTTCTAACACTGAGGCAATCAATAGAACCACAAGTGTCCAGAGCCATCTACATACAGAAAAAAAGCTACTATGGTACTTTCCAAGAAAGCTGCATCTGCATGTCTCCTATATGGAAATACACAACTTCTAACAACATTTCAAGTCAGTGATGTACAATCCCATCAAAATACACACGACTTTTCTCCACCATGAGGGTGGTAAGGTAATGTACACAGCTGGATACAACTTCTGTGATCAACCCCTCTCCCATGACCAGGAACGCAGCTTCTCCCATACACATATTCTCTCCATGCTCTCATAAAGCACAAAGCTTACAGTACTTCAACCAGAAGGAACTTCTGCACCTTTATAGTTTTCCCCTCTGCACATTCACACACTTCTCAAAGTTGTTGGGAGCCGTCCAGGCTAAAGATTAAAGAGCAACCTTAATTTGTAGTTGGCAACTGCTTCACAGTCTTCCTTAAACTCTTTTTTTTTCCCATAGGAAGACTTTATGATTCTAGATTTGTCCTTATAGATTGAAGAGTGCTTTGAGATGTAAACAAGTTTCCTGTGCAAGTATTTCAGTTCTCTTCAGAGACATAATCACCTACTACCGCAACTGACAGATTTGAAAGATGCTTGCCCTCTTCAAGTTTTGGGTCTTAAAAGCCCCTCCATAACCAACAGTCAACTCAATGAAGTAATTACCTCTCCAAAAACTTTTTGCCACAGCTACAACAATATTACCAAGAACCTGAAAACATGTTCAGTGGTGTCTTCACGCTACCCACCACATGTCATTACCATCTTCTGAAGAGAACTGCAGTCGCGGTGAAGCAAAGCACCAGGAATCAAACAAGAACTGGGTTCAGGTTCCTTGTCCTCTGCTTTCCTTTCTCCCTGCAACCTGTGGAGCCACTCTCCTCCGCTCTTCAACATATTTAGTCTCCTATTCCACTATAAAATCCTGCACTTGGAAGAGTGATGCCACATGCTAATTGAATAGGGTTTGCAATATTACGCAACAAGCATATAGCCAGTGTTCAGCTCTGTTAACGTTTGCTGGTTCAGCCCCACTGGTACACACTGGTGTAGCAGGCTGTTAACTGCTACTACAGTTTTACCATGTTTTCTGGGACCACAAAGACAAACCAAGCAGTGCCTGGAGACAGCAGTGACAAGGTACCCCTGCTAATCCCACTTGTACCCAAACAGCGCTTGAGCATTCAGCCAGGACCTCAAAATCCCTTCCCAGCCCAAACATCTTCTGAAGCTTGGAGCTCTGTCTACATCTGCTCAACTGTAGGCCTAGAAAGACTGCCAGGACCGCAGCAATCCTCCAGCAGCTGGCTTTCTTGGCAGTATGCAGCTGCATTTTTAAGACCACGCAAAAAAGGCCGGCTCAGACACCACCCTGCCAATTGTTCTTGCATAGGAGTTGTGCAATGTTTCTGGTAACATCCTTTCATCTAGGGAACTGGAATGTGATGACCTTCAGGGAGGGAAGGAAAGGGGGAAGAAAGGGAGGATTACTGGAACTGAGTTCTTCAAAAGGCTAGAAAACTAAAAGCCCTTATCAGAGCAACTGATCTGAAGTCCCTTATGGGTCCTGTAAATGGCTTAAGCTAGCTACTGACAGACCTACACTGGAATTACAGGATTAACTAATAACTTCTCCTTTGCTTTTATACCCTTTTGCAAGTTTACTGCAGTTGTAACAAGATTACTCTTGCAATTTAGTAAACCACTTCCTTGCTTGTAGCAGCCTAGGCATCATTTAGTCTAAAGCCCAGATGTATCCCCTAAAGACCATGCTGCCGTTGTAACAGAAGTGACGGTCCCAAGCCACCTAAAGGGGAGAAACGCTCTCCCTCTACCACCCTCAACTCAGAGCTGTAGCTGTGTGGACTCAGCAGAGAAAGAAAAAAGAACATAGAAAAAAATGCAACAACCGCCTCTGCTTGGATAGCTAAGATAGGCTGAGTATTTGCAGCTGACAGTTTGAGAAGAGGAACGTGCTTATACTTGACATAACCTTACACCAGTCCACAATCACAGGCAGTCACTTTAAATCGTCATTGCTCATTTTCATACCGACATCTGTCTTACTGTACACCTTAAGTGCAGAATACATGGTACAGAGTTGCAGCCCTCCTACCCCAGGTGCTAATAACCAAGCCTGAATTCCCAGATCAGCAGCAGCTTTGCTGGCGAAGTCGCTCAGAGCTCCTCTCAAACCTTTGCTCTAAGGCTTTGCCCATAACATCACAGTTGTTATCTAGAGGGCCAAGAATGCCAGATATATGCTTTTGCATTTGTAAACCCTAAGCAACTTAACTCTTAACAGACAAGTCAGGCTTTAGAGTTTCTGCAGCAGAAGGGTTCAGTACCATCAGCCAAACCAAGAAGGTAACAGCTAATTGACTGTAGTATTTTTACCATTCTTCCAGTACTTAGCACATAATTTCCAATATGAACAGCAAACTTTTGCCCATTTCTAAACAAGCTTCAAAAGATGGTGTTTCTAGATTTGTGCTGAGGGAGAGTATTTCTCCTTTCTGACATTTTACCATATGGCATATCAAGTCTTATAAATATGTAAGGCAAGCAATGCTCTTTAAAAAATACAGCTAGCATCTCCCTGGGGAAAAAAAAAAAAGATAGTATTCCAACGCCCTAGAGAAAGCACTCCATTACGAATCTAAAGGTACATGAGATGTATATTCCCCACAGCCCTATTGGAAAGTAAATTAGTATCTCTGCCAGGACAGATTCCCACAGGCTAAAAGAATGATCCTTCATTGCTTGTGAAGGCCTCTGCTTTAGGGGTCATATTGTTCAGAAAGACAGAAGTTATAGTGAAAATATTATCTAGGAAAAATTCAAGCAAATTTCTTCTCAAAGCACAAATTAAGTTGATACTTACCATAGTTATCTGCAGGATAAAAAGGGGGCTGCACATTCCAGCACATTGAATCTAAACTCCTCTTGCAATGGGTTTATCAATGAGGCACATAAACAGAGAAACTCACCTGTATTTAGCCCTGCTGCTCTTTACATCATAGAAGCTTGTGCTTAAACTAACAATCCAAATACTGCAAGGATTCTCAGACAAGCCTTATTTGCAAAAGGCAGTTTAATAAATACACAGCAATTGCTCAGCAATTAAAAATTTTTGCAAGGTCAGGATGAACTTAGTCTTTGGGGAAAAAAAAAAACCACCCAAACCACCAGACACTTCTTAGAGCTGAGATCTGTGTAACTTCTCCGTTCCATGTTAAAAAAAAAAAAAAAAAATCGTCTCTACAAAGAACAAAGAGGCCCTAGAATTC